TCTCTCTCTCTCTCTCTCTCTCTTTCTCTCTTTCTCTCACTTTCTTTCGTCTCACAATCAGACGGAACGATGTGTTACCTCGTCTCTCGCGTTTCCAGTTTCTTTCGCGTCACAACGTATCTCCGCGCTGTACATCTCTGAGAGACGATGATGAAGCGGTGAGGGTCGATTAATTTACGGCATTTCAGCGTGCCGCTTTCTCCTTTTCCATCATCTTCCCGGTCCCTTTGTTACGCGTTAGTTACACGACGAATCAAGGCTATCAACCGGGGAGGCAGTCGGTTAAACCTCGACGTACTGAAATACTGGCGATTTTTCCGCTGGCTGGTACACGCACAGTTCCTTCGAACTGAGAGAGAGAGAGAGAGAGAGAGAGAGAGAGAGAATACCTGACTCGGTCAGCTATGAGGAGAGAGATATCGGTGCTACTTTACATTTCACGCTCCATCTCCGCCGGTGTCCCGTATCTCGGCTCGTCTAACCGAATATACATGCGCGTCTATCAGCCATGCAGCGAGATAGCGTTAACAAGCTTTATATAAGCAATGGCCGAGAGACCGATCTGCTCGCCAAATCATCAAAGGGGCTCTCGGTCGTGCTTCCTGGTCCAGGTTCCATGGCCCGTATAGTAGTAGTAGTAGTAGTAGTAGTAGTAGTAGTAGTAGTAGTAGTAGTAGTAGCAGTAGTAGTAGTAATAGTAGTAGTCAAGGGCCCCGAATCGAGTTCAAGGAACCAGGCAACGCAAGACCGACCAGCAGCAGGTACCGAGGTAACGGGTGGTGTAAGTGGAGAGGTTAAAGGAGTCAAGGATGAATAGATAGAGCGAGCGAACGAGAGAGAGAGAGAAGATACTCTTGGCCGATATTCGAGGTTCGGTTCGGCCAACGCGTCGGGGAACGACGGTTTGGTTTGAGAGTGGCCGCGGGCGATGTTTCTGATCGGCAATCAGCCGGTTAGCCTCGATGATCACGGGGCCGACTTCGTGCCACGTCAGTGAAAATCGCTACCAATCCTGTCGACCATTCAAAGAGAGGAACTTTCCAAGTTGCGGTTATTGCGACCGATCGATCCACGCGTAACACCGTGTGTACAGGCTTTCCCCACGGTGGAAGCCGTGGAAACGTTGTTCGTGGAAAGGTTGTTCGCAGCAACCTACCTCGTCTCTCGCAGCACACCCGTTCGCCGGGTTACCACACCCGCTAAAACCTTACCCATCCACTCTTATCCTTACCCTCGGAAATTCTCCCCACACTTGGGGCGTGTATCTATCTCTCTTTGGCCCCGAAGGGACAATGGAACCCGACCGGTACCCGAGGGAATATCAGAGGATAGGAGAGTACGGCGCTCCGTTTCTCTAGCCAGTCACCGATGTAGCCACCCCGACCATTGGCCGGCAGCGGCGAGAGAGCACTTCCTGTTAGCCTCGACCCTCGTCCGCAACCAGCCGCAGGCCGCAAGCCTCGGCTCCTGCGAGCCGTAACCTCTAACCTCACGCTGTTCGGCCTGACCTCCTGCCGACAGCGTAATTGTTTAGAAACCCCTTGATCTGTAATTTCAGCGCCCGGTCTCCTCTCTCTACACGAAACATCGTTAACACGGCTCTCTCGCTCCGTTTCACTCCATCTCCCTACCCTCCCGTCACTTCTCTCTCTCTCCCTCTCCCTCTCCTCCCTCGTCGTACTAGTTTCTTGTACACCAGCCAGACACCACTCCGTTCAATCCGCTTTCTCTCCATCTCTCCATCTCTCCACCTCCACCTTCACCGACGCTTTACTTTCTCGCCCTTTTCCTCTCTCCTCCCTTGGCACCGACACGCTAGTCGATATCTCGCGCATGCACGTCCTATCTCCCGTCTCTCGCTGGACAACTACTAACTGCAAAGTTTTAGTACCACTCCGTGGGAGGGAAAAAGCAAAGAGCTCCACCGCGTTTAATTGCGCGTCCCTCCCGCGTTCCCATGCCACGCGATTGCTGCGTCGCGGTGTCCGCGACAGTGGAATACGACAGCGCATAGTCAGACGAGTGGTAAGTTACTTCGATAGGATGACGGAAAGCACTCCAAGGAGTTTGGTCCGGATCTTTAGTTTGCTATCGGGATGCCTTGCTCGAGGATATAGTTTTATCATGTTACTCCCGCGGGGCAATCTGATAAAGTATAGCGTCGCTCGCGCCGAGCGAGGATTGAAAACAGATATTAGGGGAATAAAGTACGCAGTGGGTTTAGAAGAGTATGGCTATTTGTCGCGCGTGCGCGTTTCCAAGTTTCCCCAAATGCAAAATGCTTTCGGCTCCGATGTCGACGACGACGAGGATCCGAGAAGATATTTACTCGATAAAATTGAAACAAAGT